TCTAACTTACGCTTCCTCAAAGAGCAAAGCTACGACAGCCCCGCTGCAGTTAAAGCTACTCGGCGCAACATGATTAACGCAAACCTTCTACAGAGATGATTTGATGCAAAGAGTCTGCATATACAACGCACCAATTGTGCAAACTTTTGTAAAAGTGAATTGCGTGTTTTGTATAGCTGCACATGATGGATGATCTTTTTTGGGAGTAGTAAACCAAAAGTCAAATTATATGTACTACTAGAATAGTGATTCTGACGAGTGACCTCGTTGAGGATGTGGAGGTCGTCGACTACGATCCTGGATCCGTAGTACACTACTTTAAACTAAATTTCGATGAAAAAGCGTATGCGCATTAAAATGCACACCGCTTTGGCACCAGCTCGTAGGGATATCAAGCTGTTCACGCGTTCGTTATGAGCCATTTCGGGCTTTAGAAAGTGCTTGATGTTTGTTGTGTACAATCATCTAAAAAATCGAACAAATTTTAAGTTAATCAGATATAAAAGTAACTTCGATGATGCAAATTTTAACTCCTCGATTGGAATACACCTCTAAAATTACAAATGCTGGTCAAACATTGCGGATGAAAAAGTGGTGACATTTCCTCGATCATGCTTGTGGACTCATCAAACACAAATATTGACTGTCCAAGAATTCAGATCCAGAGTGATGTCCAAAGAGACGTAAGACGTAGCACCAAAGATTATAAAATGTATCGATTAGTTAACTTTTTAGCAATCTTGGCCACTTCTAATAACCTGAACATTTAAGATAAAAAATCTCATCTCATCAATTATTTCTCCTTGTAGTTCATAATATGACAATGCACTTAGATGCGATATCTCCTAATTCGCATTGTTAGTATGGACCCTACATCTGCAGTAGAAGAGTTTGGATTAGTTCCCGAAGACAACTATTCCATCCCAGTTGAAGGTATTGCAACGCTTGTGTGTATAACCCTAGGACTATTCTACTGGTTTTACTATAACGTAAAGGACAATTCCTTTCCCTCGCCTTCCTCTTCAAACACTAATGCAGCCTCATTTCGCGAGAAGCGTTTCGCTTCGTTTGTGGAGCACGAAATTTCTTCCTATGAGATGGTGCTATTTGTCACAAAAGAGGATTGTGCGACATCGTACCATGCGTTATTTGATGCACTTCAAGCACCAGGTCACATCGTCAATTTAGCTCAAACAGCATGTGGCTCCAGGGTGCTTGAAGTGCTACGCGAGAGTTACTCGAAAGAGGTTTCCGATATATATTTATTTGTCAAAGGTCAACTGGTAGGGGGCACGAAAGAGATACAAACTTTTATTGTGGAAGGACAAAAAAACGAGGTGGGGAGAAATTGGGATTGGGGTCACATTCGAATTGATCCGAAAATGGATACGGGATTCATGATACTTGATGAGTTCAACAGTTTTCAGTGTGTTAACGATGTTGGTAACGATAAAGAGACGATTGTTAAGCTGGAAACGAGACCGTTGGTCTCAGTGCAGGAACTCTGTACATTTAATCCGGCGAATCTCGTCCAATGCCATATTCCAATTGCGCTTCATGTAAGGAATCAACGACGACGCAGTAAATTGTTGGTATGTCATGACATGAAAGGAGGATATTTAGGAGATCGGTTTAAACAAGGCTGCAATGACTTTGACGCATATCGATTCTATCAGTGGGATTTGGTCGACGTGTTTGTGTACTTTGGACATGCTCTCGTGTGTCCACCACCATGTGGGTGGATCGCCGCTGGTCATCGTCATGGTACTCGTGTCTTGGGTACCTTTTTGACTGAAGGTGAGGATGGCACTGAACGATGCAAGGAACTATTTCAAAACGCTCAAACGGCCGAGGTAAGTTCAGGTAATTCATGTTCAACTCAAAGGTATTGATGCAAATGCTGCAAATCTTAGGCATTTGCTTTTAAACTCGCGGCAATTGCTTGGCACGGCGGGTTCGAAGGCTGGCTTATCAACATTGAAAATGACGTGCCATCTGACCTTATAGCTCATTTAAAAACATTTCTACACACTCTTCATAACAAGCTTCAGCTTCAAAATCCGCTAGCTCAAATCGTGTGGTATGGTAGTCTCTCGAGTCTTGGCAAACGTAGTTCTTACGTTCGCTTAGACAAGTGCAGCACCGATTTCTTTCAACATGTGGACGGATTTTATGCAGACTATGGCTGGAGGTCTGAAGACGCCAAATTCTCAGCCGCTTTTGATCTCGATCGTCGTTATGATGTGTATATGGGCATCGATGTTTTTGGACGACACAATATGCTTGGTGGGGGCAAGATGAACTGTAGCGAGCCACTACGTGTGGTATGGAATGCAGGCGTTTCAGCTGCTCTCTTTGCCCCGGGATGGTCGTATGAGTGTTATCAGTTTGAAGAAAATGAAGAGTTTGTGGTCGCTGAACATCGATTCTGGAGTGCAATACGAGAGAGTTGGAAGGTGAAAAGTCCGTGTTATGATTCACTTGGCGGGCAAAATTGCTTCTACACTGCTTTCAACGTTGGGCGTGGAAATGGTGTGTGGCTTGATGGAACCTGCGTCGGATCGTCAACGTGGTTTAATATGACAGAAATGGACGTCCAGCCCGATCACATTTTGCATGTTGGAAAGGTCAATGTTACTGCGACGGGATCCATGAAGGCGGTCATCTCGCATGCTTTAGCTTTTCAAGGAGGAGCAAGCGTACAATTACAGGTAAGAAAAGAATTGAAACTTATGATATCCTGCCTTGGTACTGATTTTTGTACTATAGGGTCAATTGGAGAGCAAGGAAAAATCATATTTCAAGCTCTATGATGTAGACATTGAGTTCTCTTCACGTCGTTTTATCGAAATTTCCTATACTACTGCCACCCAAGATGACTCCGTTTGTCTACTCGTGCTAACAGTATGTCCAGGTTTAGATCGTGCCACGCATGTAATAATATTACGCTCGATGGATATACCAGGAATGAGCAAACGTCACCTTAACAATAACAAAACTTTGTCAACAGTTGCAAAAGCTTTATCAAAAAAACATTTTTATCTGCCATTTTGTACCGAGTATTTCGATGCCGTCGGTGCTGATGCTGATGCAGTACAAGAGCTTACAAAAGGTTGGTGTAAAAAGACGTATCGTCTAGGAGGGCAACTCTGGGAGAAGAAACATATTGTGGAAATTGGCATTTTGTGCACAAAGAAAAACAATTCATTAGAAGGACCAAGAGACTTTCTGGCTTACCTCGGGGAAATTTGTATGGTCAGTAGCTGCGGCAAAATTGCCGTCCATTGTGGAGTACATACACAGCCAAAAAGCTGCAAAAATGCGATGGTTACTTCTTTTCTGCGTAACAGTTCTCGAACGATATCTTTTGAATTGCATTGGACTTTTACGTCGGATGGAGCTCCCGTCCGTTACGTGGTAGTTTTTGCGTGCACCGGAAGCGGGAAGAGAATATACGTTGGAAAGAGCTTTGACAATACTTTATGGGTGGAGAGTTGGGATCTACAAACTGGCGAAAAAGCCAATGACGCGTCTATTTTCCTCACACTTGAACTACAAAGCGTTTCATGGGCTGGTCAAAGTAGTACGAACATTTGTCGATTACATTTGGAAGAATAGCGGTGTATGTGGTGATAGTTATGTAGTAATTTGGGTCTCGAATCCATATCTCCTTTTGAAAGAAAATTCATGCCAAATTCCTTTCGACTTTCCACTGTGATTCTGTTGTCCGGGTAGCAAAAGTGATAACATCTCGGATTTGGTTTTTGGTCTCGTTTGAATTTTTTTAGTCAACGCTGGGCCTTGTTACCGCGATTGAACTTGAAATTTAAGTACTGTAATCTTGTGTACTTAACCTGAATATTCATCAGTACCGGAATGTCGATAATTGAAAATATGAAAAGGAGGTCAGAGCCCCGCACACTTTAGATAATTCTTTGCTTTCAATACCAATTAGTCACTCAAATAAGCGACAAGTAAGATGTCAGTGTTACCTCCACTTCTGCCAGGTGTGCAAACTCCCAACGAGTTTATTATGCCGAATTAATTTGATGCCAAAGGAATCGTAATCTGATTCCAATAATTGTCCTGGACGTTTTTTGCGATAAATACCAACCCTAGTATCAACACGGGCCTGCCGGCGGCAAGGAGGTCAAAGATGGCGCTCATAGAATGAATTAATATGAGTGGCACTTTTTCGCTAGTAAAGTGTACTAGAGCCAATAAAGTAGCTTGAAAAGGTATTGTTTGTGCGGGTAAGAAGCTTCCCACAGAGTCGTTGGCACGACAAGATTCAAAGACATAAGTGATTTTCAGCAACCACCAAAGCTTTGTTGAGTGCAAAGCCATGCTACGACAGGTCGCTCAACCATAACGAGAATGTGTGCGCCAATTATCGCTGGTAGTAGTAGGCTGAATAGACCGAATGTGTCGCCCCTGAGGTCACATTAGACATGAGGACTAGCTGTTAGATACAATTAGATCCAAAGCGGAAGTCTTTCATCCTTCTTGCAGAATTAAGACTTTAAGCGGTGTACTTCCGAGGCGGCTAGTCATGCAACAAAGGCAATGCTCCATAAACGCCGTAGTCGGGTGGCTAATTAATCTTCGAGCCCGCATTTCCGTGAGATTCTGTGGTGATTTCGAGATTTGATGTACGATGTCTTTTAATAGGTGAATTTTTATGGCCAGGAGGCTATTCAATCGTTACAGCTTTTGGTGGCTGCATAGTGATGACCCACACATGTTGAGACGTATATTGACTAGAAGGTCAAGCATGGGTCAAGAGTCGGCTTTGATGAAGAGGCGCGAGCTGTTGAAACTCAGTGATGGCCTCATCTTTGACTTGCCAGTCCTTGAGAAAGAACACATGGGTATGTTGAGTTCGTGTGGCACACGAGATAGATAGATCACCTTGCGCATCCTCAGCAGTAACTTTGTATTGAGCTGATTGATATTGAAATGCGGCGAGAGAGACGATCTAAAAGCTATGGAAGAAAGTACATAATTTGGCCCTTCCGGATGCGGATCGGCCCTTACCATAGGCTACACTAAGGTTAAAGCGGCTGCCGATGGGCATGAACGCCTCATCCGCGCTTGATCCTTTCCACGTTAGGCAACGGAGAAGAAATATCAGCTCACGCATGACAAGGGACCAAATGAAAGGGGGTGTGCTCTTGTACTGTTGAAAGTACTCCTTTATGACTCATAACAATTGTGATGAATCCTTATTATACATTATTACGTACAGCAACATCGTCGCCATCAATAGCCATTTTGGTTATCTCATGTCAAGAGTACCAAAATGGACTAGGGTAGTCACATGTCGGTTTGGCGGCGTTAGGCGTGAATGATGTAATACGTGAGCGTATGTGCACAACACAACATGGGTTGTTCTGTTTTAAACTGTGGATTATCTAACCTTTCGAAGCACCTTTTCACCTCAACTTATCCCACGGCTTGTTGTATTACAGCATATATGCTCTTGACGGATGTCCAAATGAGGCAAACAGTAATCCTTTGTCGAAGTGATATCACGAACAGTATTCCAATCATGTGTGACGAGTTAGAAAATGGCTGGATATGGATCTTGTTGATACAATGATGCTGATTCTTTCTATGCAGTCTACACAAGCGATAACGAATATTTCAAACGATTCATATAGCCATTTCGATAACATTCTACTTAACACCAAAGCTTGCATGTGCAGTGTAAGCCTAAACATAAATGCAAAATTTTGAATGAGGATGTGCCAACGGCAAAGTCTAAATTTTCGAACAAAACTCATGCGGCGGCGCAAATAGCTCAAATAATTAAATACCTGCCGTCAAATGCAAATTTAAAAGTATAATAACACGTTCGGTTAGAGTGGATGCAATATAATTCCGGAATGGCTATACTGTTCAAATGGACTAGATTGGGTTTTGCCGCAGACAAGACTTGGGAAATCTCTACACAAGTCATAACCACGTTAACAAATGACAATCGTCACCTCTGCTTAAACAAAAAATCGCTTAAACTTTCATAGAAATATTTATAGCTTATATTGTAACGACACGCTGAGGCAGTGCAGGATGTTTGCTTGACATATTTTCGCTTAATTTGCCATCTTTGTAAAGCGCCCCGAAAACGATTTAGCAAGATTTCCGGCATCACACGCAAACAAGAACATACTTCCTTCCGATCGATGACTGTATTCACGCTGTGTTGCTGCGGGCTTGGAGCTGAGTAGGTGGACCCTGAACTTGACAAGTGCATACTCTATCGCAAGTAGCTCCTTGTCATGAACTGCGTATTTCTTCTCTGCAGCTTTGAGCTATCGAGATTCGAACGTGATCACCCGATCTCGTCCCTCGGCGTCAACTTGCAGCAGTGCACAGCCGATGGCAAAGTCCGAAGCGTCACAGACGGCGCTGAAAGGACGATCAGGGTCTGGCAGCGCCAGTTTGGTGCATGCAGGAGGCTGTCTTTGACTCCGTCAAAAGCCTCGTGATGTTCGGTGCTCCAACACCACTCCGCATCCTTTTTAAGGAGGTTGGATAATGGCCGGGCCATTCCTGCGTAGTTTTCGCTGTACTTGTGCAAGTAGTTGGCAAGACCAAGCCACTTACGCAAGTCCTTCTGGTT